CTGCCAGGCAGCGTCTTCCCAAAGCATTGGGGGAATCCAAGAGGAGGGTCAGCCCCCGACACCCCCCCCCGGCTGCCATCACCCCCAGGGTCACCTCTGCCCAGCGCTCAAGTGGCACACGGGGCTTCTGGGCATCCCGCAGGGCTGCGCCCCTGTGCTGGGTCCCCCCCCGCACCCTGGGGCCAGTCCAGCCCCACAGAGACCATGGCCATGGGCTGGCCCCGGGGTTCCCAACACCCACAGCACCCCATGGGCTCGCTGCCTCCCCTCGGGAGCGAGGGGGCTGCAAGCTCATGGGGGTGAGCCCACGCCAGCCCTGGACCTGCGTAGTGGGATGGTTACAGGCACATTCAGAAGCCAGATCTGGGATTTAGCAGAGCCCAGCCCCGCAGGGATGCCCTGGCCCAAGGGGATTAAGGGATTGTAGGGCTCGGGGACCTGTGGGAGGGGAGCCGTGGTTCCTGGAAAGGCAGCAAAGCCCTGGACCCTACAAGGGCACCAAGTGGAGCCGGATGAGCATTGGCTGAGCTGGGCAGAAGGGGGCAGCTGGCAAAAAGGCAGGGAAAAGGTGACAGCCTTGTTTGCCTGGCCAAAGGGGTGGCAGGGAGGGAGGGGGCTGCAGAGGCACCACCTGCCTGCCCCATCCTACCATGGCCCTGGCTCACTCTGCCCTTGGAGCTTGGGGACGGAGCTAGCCCCCTGTCCTATGTCCCCGACTCCAAGCCACATCCCCAGCAAGTGGAGAAAAGGCCCTGGGAAGCCTTTCCCCAGCTGGTGCTGTGCAGGAGGGGGAAGGGATGGGGCACCCCAGGGACACTGCCAGCCATGCCCTGCAGTGAGGGCCCCGCACCCCTGGCCCCACACCCTGGTGCCCACTCAGCCCTGGCCCAGTGGGAAGCTTCACGCAAGGACAGTGAGGCTGAGCTCCGAGGGATTTGGCTCTCTCCGTACCCCCTCGCTCACAGCAAGGCCAGAGGGAGCCCGCAGAGACCTTTGCGCCACGCTTTCTTGCCACGACAGGGGACACAACGGAGCAAAACCAACTCACCTGAAACGGGCTGTTTCCCAATGCAGAGATTCACTCGCGCTGCAGTTATTCGGTGCTTGGATTTGGCTCAGCTCTTTGGCCAGCCACGGTGGGTCCGGTCCAGGGTCCCTGCTAAAACCCCGCATCCCCTTTGGAGCTTAAAGCCCAGGACCCTCCCCACAGCTCCTCTGCCTGCAGCAGTGCAGCGAGGGCACCCGCAGCATCCCAACAGTTTTAAATACACCACCTCTGGCACGTTCCCTGCAACCGCAGCAGGAGCAGGGAGAGCTGGGAGAGCATCTGCTTGGGCGCACAGCTCCTTGGCCCCTGCACAGGAGGTCACTTATGACAGGATGAGTCCATCTATGCTTCTGGCAGGGGATGCAAGTGAACAACCCCGCTCTGGCTCCCCAGACGCCTGCTGCCGCCCCGTGCTCTGACAGCAGCGCGGATCACTCATCGCCGCCAGTCCCGATCCCAAACAGGAGGCAGCACGCCCATATCATCTTCAAAATAAAACTTTATTCATTCGGTAACAAGAACATTGAATCTGCACATCAGTGCACAAGTTCACATTTAAAAACAGCTGAGCACATCGGTCATAAAGTCTCTAGGGGGAAAGGGGACGATCCCAGCCACCAAGGAAGATGCAGGAGGGGCAGACAGAAGCGTTCCCCTCCCTGGTTTGCAACTCCACCACCAGTCGTCCCAAGGGTTCATGCTCCAGCACAGGGTGCGGCCAGACTGCCCGGCCCCAGGGCGATCCCTACAAACCAGCGCACGGACGTCACCTCTCCATACAGGAAAATAAAAGGCACTGGCACCTGCTTTTGTGCCAACAGAGATGTCTGCAGCGCGGGCGGGCAGCACGGGCGGGCAGTTAGCACCTCTGGCGGCACTGCTGGAGGGTGACCGAGAGCCCTCTGCCCAGCCCGGACCCCTCCTGCGCCAGGCCAGTGCCCACCTCTGCCCCACGCCAGCAAGGGCTCGGGGGAGGTCCCTCCCTTAGGGAGAAGCATGGGGATTTGCGTGGAGCTAGGACCAGATTAAGGCAGGATGCACCACGACAGGAGCAGGG